CGCCTCTGAAATTAAAATGCAGGTTGTTCGGCGGGGAGGGAGCGCGTTTGGGCGCGGGTCGGGCACCGTGGTGGGGCAAGGAGCGGGGCGTGCTGTCCCCCCGGGAAGGCTGCGGGTCTCGCGCTCGCAGGCACACGGAGCGCCTGGCGTAAAAGAAATCTCGTCAGACACCGAATGAGCTCGGAATAAGTTTTTCAAATTGGTTGCTGCTGCAGCGCAACCTTTCGACTGCTGGCATTTAACCTTGTGTATCGCTCTTGGCTTTCGAATGAGTTTAGCTTAATAAAGGTGCCTTATTAAATTACTAGGCTGGGGTTTTAAGCTGCTAGAAATAGGCACACTGGGAACTAGCCTGGGGTCGTTGGACCTCACTGGCTGCCAGCGGAGCATGCGGCGGCCTAGGTGCGTAGGTGCGAGCGTTTATTTTTACGTAGTAATTCAGCGGTGGGATATTACAAAGTTCCAAGTCGAGGGTTTCGGGCTGCTGGAACGCACGTGGTGGTAAAAACGCTGCTGCTTGCCTTCCGCCCTGGATCACCGGCCGCGGACATCCAGCCGGCAGTGCCGCGACCTGAGCGTGGCCTTTTTAATGAAGCGGTTAATAGGTGGCAACCTGCTCGTCCAGGCGTGAAATCCATCACAGCTTCACCAGCGCAGGCTCCTAAACGTCACGATCCCGCGTCAGAACTGAGCTGGGGTCCCTCGGTGCTCGGCGTTCTGCAAAGCTTTACTGCCAGGGCCCGTAGCTTGACAAAAGCGGATGGCAGCTTTGAGGCGGGACGCTTACAGGAGGGCTGAAGATGAGCTACAGGCGTGTCCTTAATGGAGGAAAAGACACGCCCGCCCCACCAAATTCTTGGTTGATGCAAGTGATGCAAGAATGCCAGTTCTGCGTCGTGCCTGGCCATCCTTCTGGATCCTTTGGACGTGGGAAGCGTTGCCAGAAGCGCCCGCGGTAACTTCAGGCGTGCTGGCGCGTGTGGATCAGGAGAGGCGTTCACCGCGATGGCCGTCGGGATCGCTCTTGTCAGGAGCGCGCACGTGTGCTGACCGAGCCCAGGTTCCTGCTGCAGGTGACGTCTCTGCGGGGCCCAGGCCAAAGCGGTACGGGATCGCTTTGCTGCTTCCATCTCTTGGGTGAAGACTGTGGGGCTGGGGAGCCGAAAGGGAAGGGCTCAGCCCCCATGGTTCCGGCAGAGCTGGCTGAGCGTGCCGCTCGCCCTCGTACAGCGAGCCTTCAGGGCATCCCTCTTCGTTTCCAGAACTAATTGTCAGCTGGTAAACAGCTCGTTAGAAACACTAAAATTTCGCTTACAGGGCTGGGAGCGAGAGGAGAGGCGAGCTGGCGAAGGCGCGGGGGGCCGCGGGCTTTGGGTGCCCGCGCAGGTCGGGCTGGAAAGGCTTTCTGCTCCTCCTGCAGCCCAGGGCGCAACGGCGCGCGTGCTCCC